GGAAAATTTAAACGTTCAAAATGTTCGATAAAGATAAAACGAGGATGACATTTTTATGACTTGAAACGATCAAAGACTTATCATTTAAACTAATTGTTTATACAACAGCGATATTTAGATTAACATTCAACAAATTTAGTCATTAATTGTGTATTGTGAAAATATAATATAATATAATTCGTGAATTAGTGCAGGAGAAATTGCGTAAACTGTCGCAATGTTTTCGGATTTTGTTTCTTCAAAAAAAGACGCGCTACGCTCAACTTACAATTGCATACATAAAAATAAAAAACAAATTACATTGTGTACGCGTGTAAATGCTAGTACGTTGCAATTATTTAAATAATTATTTTACATAACAAAAATCATTGCAAGCCTTACAACCTCTCTTAAAATGCTTGGGAGGAAGAGAAAAGCACATGGGATTGCGATAATTCATTTATTCAGTTTATTAATACAATTTTGAAATAAATCGTAGTCAAGTTGAAATTGATATCGATCACAAATTTCAACATTCGCGTAATTTCGAATAATAACACGTCGATGAAAGGCACCACTTACGTTTCGCAAGTTTTCCCTAAATAAACTAAAGAAACTCCTAGATATAATCTCAACAAAGTTGCATTTTTCTGTGCGAATGAGGCTCAATGTTTATTTGAAATGTACATTTTGAAAATGAATATATTATAATATGTTGTCGATCTGTCGTGGCGATATCGATGATAGATTATAAGATAGATCATCAAGTACTTGAACTTAAGAGGCAAGGATTAAAAAAAAAAAAAAAAAAATTGTTTTTGCCCCAGTTGATGGTATTTGAGTCGATAATCACAGTTCAATTAGCAGAATATTATTGTTATACTCGGTTGTAAAAGAACGTTATTACCCCCCCCCCCCCCCCCCCATCTTGCGCGTTATGAGCTGATTCAAAGATTTTCAAACGATTCGTTGCTTTAAAATCAGTAAGCTGTAAAGACGATGAAAGGTACATAAAGTTAAAAATTAATTTCATAAACTATTTGATTATTAGTCCTCGAGTGCTTCTTTAAAAGTAATACATCATAAAGGACCATATTGGGCGATGTTAGAAGTTAAGCCCGAAATGTTAAATCGTCGTCAGTTGGGGTAGAGCGCGCCTGCGCTCTCCCCGCCGAACAAACTCCTATGAAGATCCAGCGAGAAATCAAAGGAAGGTAGGGATGAAGAAAGAACGGATGGTAGTAGGTAGGTATAATGGGTATATTGGTAGGTGTTGAGCGTGAGCGAGGGACGGGGGAAGGAGGTAGGTAGGGCAAGAGAAAACGAGGCGTCGTCGCATCTTGTTTATCCAAGTCGAATGCGACGCGAGCGCCGTCTTCGGCGCCGCTACGAATCAAAGGTCGCGCGAGTCCATTGACGACGAACGACGAGGAGGGGCCGGAGGGGGGCTACTAAAGGCTCTGGCTGCGTGTATGTGTGCGTGCGTGCGCGCGCGAAGAGCGGGTGGGACGCGAGATATTATATATAGAGAGGCGGCCGAGAGGCGCGCGCCGATGAAGCTCGACTTGTGATCGACGGTACGTACGTCTTACGCTCGTCAGCCCAGGACGACGACGTCTCTTCAACGGCTCCTTGTGGAATACGCAGCTCCCTATCGGGGCATCGCGCGCGTCGCCTGTCGAAATTTTCGAGTTCTTGTTTGTCGGAGGCCAAGGCTAGAAAATCATGACTCGTGAGTATTGCCCGAGCGAGCGACCGAACGAACCTGCCTGACTTTCCCTCTTCCGTCTCCCTCCTTCCTCGCTCGCTGTCTCTCACTCACTCTCACTCACTCTCTCTCTCTCTCTCTCTCTCTCTCTCTCTCTCTCTCTCTCTCTCTCTCTCTCTCTCTCTCTCTCTCTCTCTCTCTCTCTCTCTCTCTCTCTCTCTCTCTCTCTCTCTCTCTCTCTCTCTCTCTCTCTCACTTCTCTCTCCCCCCCCGTCCCTCCTCCCTTCTTCCTGCTTCCTCCTTCCTCCTTCCTCCTTCCACCTCTTACGTCTGTCATTCTCCTGTTAAGACTCTGTCGTGTTTCTCTCTTTCTCTCTGTAACTACTACAGCTGTACAAGTCTCGCACTTCCCTTGGGTGGGTGGAAAGAAGCAAAGTCCCCGAGGCTTCGTTTATGAGCGCAGGATCACCGAGACGTCGTGGGTCGCGCGACCGCGTTACCTGGCGGCCCGTGAAATTCGACACCATGTTGTCAGCCGACCCGGAGCCGAGCCCAATTCTAGAAAAGTCCGATCCCCGCTGCTCGTGTCCGCGTGTCCTTCTCCTTCCCGAGGTCGATCGTCTCGGGGCTTTGCTCGCTTCCGCATTATTATTGCTCCACGCTTACTCGCCGTATCGTGCCCAACCATCGATGATTCATGACATTTTCGTTGCTTCCTTGTTTAGTTGTGCGCGAAGCGCGAGCAATGTTTGTTTTTCGCGTTCCCCCACGTCGTTCAATTATTTATAAAACGGGAGGACGATTGTTGTACGGTTAGTGGAACGTGTCCCCAATTTCTTTTCATCGCTTACGGCACTTGTTTATCCGAATTGTTGAGTAATTTAAAGTCTGAGACACGAAGGTTTAATAAGAAATTCGTTGGTAGACAATAGTTGTTTGACCAAATGACGATTTCATTTTAATGTTTATCATTATTTAAGTCTGTCGATCGTTGGCTGCTCCCCATACTGCATTCAAAGAACATATATTCTATACTTTTCTTATTACTGCAATAAAGATACATTTTTTTATCATTTATTTATGAACCATAAATTATGGTATAACGTTGTAATGCGCGCGCGCGTGTGTGTGCGGATTAAATTGGCTCCAAGTCATTGCTCATTCACCAATAAGTTTTAATTCTCCTTCCAGTGTAAGTCGATTAAATGTCGTCATGATTTAGTAGCGATTAATTCACTTTTTCTTCCAGCTTGCCTGCTAATTTCTGTATTTAATCATTGTATATATATATGTATATATATATATATATAAGCCTCTGTATATAAAGAATATTGATATTTTTCATAGATCAATATTATATTACGTAGAAATAGTACGAATGGAAATTTTGTATTTACCAGACACGTCAAGGTTATTAGATTAGTTATACTTTATTATTCAGCATCGATATGTTTTAGATTTATCGATTGAAATTACCATTGGAACTACATGTCTTTAGTTTTCCCAAATTCTTCTATCCTAGCCCAGCGATATAATGAGCCTAATATTAATTAATATTCCATTACGCTCGCTTTAAATACATTCCAGTGTGTCGACAAAATGCATAAGACAATTTTCTATGTAATTATTTTGGAAGTTGAATTTTAAGGTTATATGCTTATATATTTTATTTTATTTTTAGGTGGAAATCAACGTGAACTAGCCAGAGCGAAAAACTTAAAAAAGTCATCAAAGAAAACAGCTGCGGAGCAGGAGAGTAATAAGGGTTTAACTCTTGAACAAAGGAAACAACGGTAATCGATCGAAGCGATGAAATGTTATTTTTCCTTTCATTATACTTCTTATATTTATGCTAAGAGCAATGATTACAATCTTTAGGATGTATAACAAGGAAATATCGTCTTCTTCTTCTTTTTTTTCTTCTTCTTTTTTCTCCTTTTCTCTGAAAATCTAAAGCCTACTACTATAAAAGTAAAAAAATCTCTATGATTAAGGCAGTTTTAGAGACGATCGATTACATTTTGTCACGAGAGAATTTCACGTTATACATGCTAAAAATGTTCACCCTTCATAATTATCAGTGGATTACATGTAATTTGAAAAAATTTCTTTTCTCGAATTTTGTTAGACACAGATCAAACAAATAAAGCTGCCAAACGTTCACAAAGGTGTACATCTGAATATTCGAGCGTTTGCATCTGTACCCGAAACTTTTATAAGCATGTTACAATGGTAATTACTAAAAATTACCACTAATACATTTGCTTATATTGAAAGTTAGAAAAATCCAAATAGTAAAGTAGACAGCAGTGGTATGAAGTATAAATGTCTTTATTGTACAAATAGAAGTTTGTACAATAAATGGATCATCGATACTTCTGATTGGCTGAATTTGAAAAATGTTAAAAATACGAGACATTATTAGACAGAAGATAAAATAAAATTATTTTTTTATGTTTTTATTTTAATGACATTAACAAAAATTCTTCCTACTCTTAATCGAATCATCATCCATATGAGCCAAGAAAAGAAATTAATTTGAATATGATAAACTGTCATTATTATGGAAACATTAAAAAATTGTACACAAGAGTCGAGATTAATAAATGTAAAATTAAGTTAAGAATGCTTTCACTAAAAATGGAATTAAACATTTTCACATACGATCTTGCAGTAGATTAATTTCCTTAATAAATTGAAGAAAAACTCGGAACATTTTTATTACAGAGATGCTGAAAGGATGAGGGAAAAGCAGTTAAAAAAGCAACAAGACGGCGAAGTGGGAAATCAAGCAGTGAAATAACGATAATCAAAATATCTTGTTATATAAGAACGAAACAAAGAAAAAAAAATTTTATTAACGATGATACTGACATTAATGAATTTCCTTTATGAGTAATTCTCGTTCAGCTTCGCAAGCATTAAAGGACAATTGTGCAAACAAAAAACAAAAATGTTCTGTTTGTAATTTAGCATAATTAATTTCCATAGACTGTACAGAACATGAATAGTGTTATGTCCTTACAAAATAATTCACAGAAGCTATTGGAGTAGACATTGTGAATAAAAAGAAAAAAAAGAAAAAGAAATAAATACATAATCATTGTCGATACATAGTTAAAATCTTAATCGATCAATTGCTGTAGATTTAGGAATTGTGCTTAACAGGAGACAACTGTACCTTATCGATGAGTTTAAATAATTGTAAATGTGATTCTTAAATTAAATTGAATTTGTAATTAGCCGCAGTGACATTAGTCTGGTGCAAGTTCAAGATGTTGTATTTTAGTCATCATACTTAACACATAATAAATTTATCAACCGTTAGAGTTTTAATAACGAAATGTACATGCAGTGTTTCATTTCTTAAATCATCATTTATCCTTTGTGATCTTGTAAAAATTAATTTTTTTCATTTTGCAGAACAAAAAAATAAGACAAAGAGAAACAAAAAAAAAAAAAAAAAAAACAGAAAAATGTATGCCACTGTATAAATGTATTATCAAATATTTATTATAAAAGCTATTAAGAACCGATAAACTATCTGAAATATACTGAATAACCTATCTGAAATGTAGAAAGTCTTAATAGAATATTTATAAAGTAATTTAAAGCGAAATACTACACCATGCATTTAATTGTTAAGTGATCGTTGCTTTATATCTAAACATTAAATAGTTTTATTAATTTATTTGATCAATATTCACTAACGATCACCATTACGAAGAAGTTCGATTAATTTAAAAATATAATTTTCATGCAGTTGGATAATGTAATAAGGTAAGCAAGTTTTTAAAGCCCAACGATACTACAGCATAGCATGTATTAATTATTTGTGATATTTCATTAGAATTTTCAAATAAGATGATCGTAGTACTGGTATTGGTGAAATAAATGAAAATGCATCAATGTAACATACTAATAATAGTATAAAAATGCCGAAAGATTTGCAAAATAACTATTCAGTAGAATGAATTACTCTTTCTTAAAAAAAAAACAACAACAACAACAACAAACATTAACAGGCTTTTAATAATTTCTCTTATCTTCTAATTTTAATGGGCGTCACTCATTATGCAAATATGTTGAGAATATTCGAAGATAAAACGAATCATTTACTTATATATAAATTCCATCTTAATTATAATTATAATTACGAGAATAAAGACTTTTTGAGAATCGGGAAATGAACATGAGAAATAAAAGATTTAAATGTTTTTCAGATTTTTATTGCACTTTCCCAAAAAAAAGTACACTTTACTTTATATTTGAGAACTGAGTTTTTCTTTTGTATTTGTATTTGAATTGGAGGGAACAATTAAGACAAAATATTACATTACTAAATCGGTATAATATTGCATAACGTTTTAACAGGCTAAAGAATGTAATGGAAGACCAAATTAGACTTACGGATTGCTTATGGGAAAGATTTTGTATAAAATTAGTTAATCTTGTATACTATGTGTGACTACTACAGTCTAAAAAACAAAATTTTGTAACGAGTAATTAATTACATTCTTGTAAGGAAGTCATTCGTTATACTACATTTTATAATCTTATTTTTACTAAAAACTGACGAATTATTCTATTTATTTTTGCTATCTTTGCGCCCTTAACATAACAAAAATTAAATATTAAATTTAGAAACGAATCATAGGAGCAGGCATAAACATTACGTAAATATCATTCTTTATCCTTGTAAGGTATTTTTCAGCCAATGCGAGACAACAAATAATTATACAACAATATTATGTCAGTAATAGTTTTATTATATCGATGCCTTATGAAATTTCTTTAAACATCTTGTGTTGAATATCCTTGAAACATCTTTTAGATGTCGAATAAAGCTTGAACATTAACTAATTGCGTAAATGATAAAGGACATAAAATAATGTAAAGAACAAAAAAAGAAACAGGACCTAAGAAAACAAAATTGCTAATGGCACCATGATGTAATTTTTGTTTTTGTTTTTGTTTTTGTTTTTGTTTTGTTTTGTCTCGTCTCTTTTTAATACATTCAATTCGAGCACCATTTAAAAATTATTTACTACATTTGTTAATATTTGAAGCAACACATCGACTCGCAATCGATTAAAACGAATTCATATTGTCCTGTACAAGGAATATTACCGTCGCGCTAACAATGTCAAATCGACGGTTTTTCTTTTCATTAAAAGTTTATTTCGGTTGCAATATAATATAATCAAGCAAATCCTGTCAGTATGAAATAATCTCACATTCTCATCAATTTTTTTAAATGCTGAAAGACTATTTTAGTTTAAGATTATTATTATTATTATATATATATATATATATATATATATATATATTTTTTTTTTTTTTTTTTTTTTTTTTTTTTTGTTTTTTTTTGTTTTGTTTTTTGTTTTTTTTTTTTTTTTTTTTTTGGAACACTTACATCAAATATACATTTGTTTTCCTTATCGGATAAGTATCGACTGTATTTATTGCTTACATGTATTTCAATGATTTATTATAACGATACGGCATAAGACTTAGAGATACAACATTTTTGCATTCTAACAATATTAGAAATTTGGCAGGAGGTACAATATCATCTTTTTACATCCTGTGTGCGTGTCTCTTTCTTAGTTTCATTATCAAATTCCATGTCTTTATTTGGTCAGTTGATCGTATTAATTGATAATGAATAATGATCGATGAGGGAGGTGTTGCAGCGATATAATAGCATCAGTTTTCTATTAATTGGACCATTGCGTGAAAAACATTATATAATCGGATGACGATTTATTTAAATTATTTAAATGTATACCTAATGCCTGCATCGATACAATTCACTAAGCTAAGTTTATTTTAATATCCCAATATCATTTTACAATGATTTAAAGAAAAACCGGGCATTGCCAGGCATTAATCGCGTAGACTACCAATTCAACTTAAATGTCTCGCCTCGAAACGTTCAAAGGACGAATGCTTATTATTTTTTTTTTGTTTTTTTCTCATTTAATTAAAACAATAGAAGACAGAATTATTTAGTTTAATACTACGAATATGAAATAATGACAATGATCGAAGTATAATACGTGGAAAAGTCATCTGGGCAAATGCGTGAATCTTAATTAATTTTATCAATTTTCATAAATGCACGTACCAAAGTTTCTCTACCAAATTAAATTTCATCATTTAAATACTTACAGACGTTGTTCGGCTTAAGCAAAATAAAGTAAGTTCTTCGGTATTTCGCTATATTTTACGAGGGGCAAAATAAATAATTCCATTCCTTAACACAGAGGCTGACGGTGCATCGTCAATGTCTTGTTGAATTATTCCTTTTACTAATCTTAAATAACGGAAGAGTCATGGACTCTAGACGTCGATATTAATTCAACGATAAAAAGTAAGACCACAACTTTTATACGCAATGCCTTATTATATTTTAATAATGATTCCTTGACGTCGACAATAAAAGAGCACCGTGCATATTACGAATACGTTTTCCAAGCTTGACCTTACGAAATACAATCATTCATCATTTTCCATTAAATTTCAAATACGGTTGAATACACGTTTAGCATAGAAAGTACGGAGAGTTTATGATTTGCAATTGTAAGGAGCCTTCTTACAATTAAGTTGCGACAACTACGACCACACGAAGTCCTACCGTGTTCGATAATAATTTCCAAGTAAATCGTCCACACTACCTTGTCCGTGAGGCGCGCGCGCGCGCACACTCACGCACAAATAAAAAGGAGAAAAACAGTTTAATATTCCTCTGCTCTGAATAATTTATACATCGTAGATTATCGATATTAATGAAAAGAAAAGCATAGATGTAGATTCTATGCTGTTAGTGTCGCCTCGGTAATAGGAGAAAATTCTGAATACGACTGCAAAAAAGATCGCACTATCGATCGGCATTTGATCATCACGAGTCGCCACTCGTGGTAGTGCTGCTGATGATGGTGATGATAGTGGTGGCAGTGGTGTCGTCCGGTGTGGTGTGGTGTGGCGTGGGGTGGGTTGGGTAGGGTCTTGCGAATGAGGATAAAGCGCGCGCGCGCGCGCGCGCGAGAGAGAGAGAGAGAGAGAGAGATAGGCGGATTGGGACATAGTCGTATATTATAATTTGAGGAAGAGTCAGCGAACGATATAAGCGAATGGGCCAGTGGAGGGCCCTCGTTCCAGGGGGAGAAGGCGTCGACGACGACTCGCGCAGGCTTCACCTGGCTCGGACACGGCCTCCTCAGAGGTTGAGCGAGCAAATGGTGCAGCTCTGGGCGACGCAGTGCGGGTGCATGTGGTGATGCGTCGGGGGCGGCGCGTTGTGGGAGGCGGGAGTCGTCGGGACGTAGAGCCAGCCGGCGCCGTTGGGCCAGACGGGAGCGGCGCTCGACGTCGAGCCGCTGCCGACCTCGGCAACAGCGCATCCAGGCCTCCCTGACGCCGCACTGCTCTGCGACGGTCCTCCTCCACCCTCCACTCACATTACCTGCAAGCACCCGCGGCATTAGAGACACGAGGACTCGTTTACGAGGCGCGCCGAAGAAGCGGAAGAAGCCGGGCTCTTAATTGCACCGGCTCCCTGCTTATTCACGGCCGAGCTCTCGGCATTATTTGGCCATTCGAAGAAGCGCCGTTTCGCGCAAAATTGAAAATTATCCGAGCGACAATACGTGCGCGGATGGATAAACTAATGCTGCGCGCCGGCGAGGGGCTTTACCATTAATTAATAAATTAATTACATCGTTTTTAAGCTTAATCGCGCGGCATTCTCGTGGCATTAAGAATGCGCACTCAAGCGAATTTGGATTGGAGATGAAGTAGCGATTGTTTTCTCTGCTTATTTTCTTTTCTCTGCAAGCCGTTGCATTGATAATGTCATTGGTAACTCGTATAGCCTCTAATTGTAACGTTAAAAAAAAAAAAAAAAAAAAGAAAGAAAGAAAGAAAAAAAAACATTTATAAAAAATGCAGAGAGAAATAGAGTGCCACTCTTCGTTATACGTATTAAATGCATTAAACGAGCATATTCTGCCTCGTTATTAATCATATAAATTAAATATAAAATCCGAGGATGTAATATTAATTAGCTAAGCGTTTAAGCGATTTCATAAACATTTCATTCAAATGCTTCTTTTCTTCTTTTTTTTTTTTCAACTATTTTATATTGCCTTCTGCTATTAAACCGTGACTTTCAATAAGTATTGCAATTATTATTTTAAAGAGATACGTTGAGGTTTACACTCTCGCGCGCGTACGTAATATTAGATTCACTACTATTTCAGCATATTATTAATAAAATTTTACTGTAGTACAAAAAAATTAAAAGAAAAAAAAAAACAAAAACAAAAACAACTCTACTCGACGAGTCACTTGCTTATTATTCTAAATTTTACATGTGCGTAAGCTTATGGAAGGTATCGTACGGTACACGTAGTATATTTTTCTCACTCGCTTAATTCGCTTATTAACATTTTATTATCTTGTTTATATATGCTAATTTATTAATTTTACAAGGTTATACATATTCACCATAAATGTGTTAATGCAACTTTAATAACTGGTCTTACGTATGCAGTCTGTTATTAAATCTTTTACTTGGGATGTAACTGAAAGTTATGATCATTGAATGTGCGACGGAGTACTACGGCACGACAAGCAGGACGATCGGATTGCCTACGCTAGCCGTGATCAATCATTTAATTGCCTCGATCACGCATAATCCTCTTTCGTATCACTGCATCTACGTGACAATCTCTCAATTTCTATAAATTTTATCTATATCAGTTTATTTGATTTTTACTACAGATTTCTCGCATTACTTAATTATTATAAATGAAGTGTAATGCTAGATAATTGACGTGGAAAGTGAATTGACATATATACATATACACAAAGGCTGGTAATTCGTTAATTTAAAAATACGCATCAGCAAACATGATAAACTTGACTATAAAAATAAAGAAATAATTAGACGGAAAAAGGGATCGTTATCGGCGATTGTTATAGTTTATCGCTCGACATATCACTTCAATGCGAGCGTGGCAGCGACGTTTTAAACCATTTCCAAAGTCACACACTCCACGCGCTGTTTTACCAGTAAATATTATCATGGAACATGAAAAGGCATACAATTAGATAATAATTAGACAATTATTGTGGGATACAATGGAAATGTTACGTTGGTAATAATTAGGACTAACGCTTAAATCAAATTGAAGTAAAGTAAAAGAAGGAAGGAAAGTAATGTACAATGGTGCGTGACAAACTCTTAAATTTATTCGTATAAACGAATGATTGCTGAATTACGTAAATGTATGCATAGATGTCAATGACACACGGATCACAAGTCGATCTCATTGGTATTATACAAGAAAAATAATGACAATTGTCGATCAAATTAACGCGAGGCTAAACGCTAAGATTGTCAATTATATTTCCACGATTCAGCAGAGGCAAGCAGAGATCGTACTCTATCGAATGAGAAAAATTCTTAAAATCCCCTCTTTCCGCGCGTATTTACATGCTTACGCATAAAGTTTTACAGTCCTTTAAGCAACATAAATAAATGTCTGTTGAATATATAGAAAGTGCTGTCCGCCTTTGTGCAATTGAAAATATAATGCAATAAAATAATATGTAAAATGTGAGGTTATGAGTAGTATTTGAGAATACCATAATGGTAAAGCGTCGTTTAACGGTCATTCGACTTGACTTTTGTGCAAGATCCTCGGCTAAGATAATTTATTCGGATGATTTATGGATGCCACGCGATCCGCCGAATGAAGAAATTACGTAAACATAAGTATACAAGCAGGCCGGTAGCGGCAACCGGCCGAGGCCATAAATCGCGCATCTCGACCGACCGCGTATTTATCGCATTAGAGAATCGTCCGGGCGGAGCCGAGGACGGGAGCCACTCTTTTCCTCTCCCCCCCCCCTCCACCCTCGCCGGCTCCGACATCGAGACCCGTCGGCTCCGGGAGCCTTCATTTCGTAAAAAGGCCCGTAGAGCCAGGTCGGCAGGGGAGACTCACACGTATCTCCGGAGACGCGAGGGCGACCGCAGCAGTGGGATTACCTGGAGAATTTGACTGGCCTCGAAAGCCGTGCCCGGCAGCAGGAGCACGGGACTGCTGACGTGGCCGCTCTCCACGCAGATCATGTTCGGGAACTCGTCGTCACCGAAGTCCGGTATGTCGCGGGCCTTCTCTAGCCACGGATTCCAGACGACGGTGTCCGGGAAATTGTATTTCTGGACGCGCATCTTCCTGCCTGATACCACGTTCGTTATTATGTGCTCCGGCTGAGTGTTTTGGTAGATGCGGTCCGTCCACTCGCACACCGTCACCACGTCTCGGCCCTCCTGGAAGATCTGATTGTCTCGCGTCTGCAAGTTAACCCACGATCGTTAGTACTTTTATCACTCTCTCTTTCATTCTCTCTCTCTCTCTCTCTCCCTTTCATTCTCTCTCTCTCTCTCTCTCTCTCTCTCTCTTTCACCCTATTTCTCACCCTATCTCTCACCCTATCTCTCACCCTATCTCTCAACCACTACGCGAAATCTCCAGTGGCAAACTGACTACCTGGAGGAGTAGCGAAATTAGTTATAAAAGTCGAGAGATTAGTACATTGGGATCCCGAATTCATCGATAATGTGCTCGTGCTCGCCTTGGCTACATGATTTGAATTTAGGAAAATAGGTAATATTGCTCGAGTTTTACACATAGCGATGTGATACATAATGATCCGATGGTCGATGGATGGGAAAAGAAAGTCGAGCTTATGGTCAGCTCTCGGCTATAAATGATCAAGGCCACGCGTACACGAGCCAATAAGCTTACCAATTACGAGGCAATGAAACGTCCCAATGTACGCTCCCGTTGAACTTAAAACCCGAGAGATTTTCCTTGTCGATGAAGGTGCATCCGTGGAGTCCGGTGATCTGGCACCTCCTCACGTCCGGCACCTTGAAGTACGTGTGCAGCAGGAGGTTGAAGCTGAACGTGTGATCCTTGTTGGGATTATAGACGCCGATGTTGAAGTGCAGCTCCTTTTCCCTGAGGATTAACCTGTAGGTCAACCTGAACGGGTAGTTCCACATCGAGCGCGTAAATTCGTTGTCCATGAGGAAGAAGATGGCCTCGACATCACCACTGGGCAGCCGTTCCGGCGACTTCTCCACGGTCCAGCGGATTATGCTGGCGAAGCCGTGGCCGGGCCCGAAAGTCCAAGCACCGAATTGCGCTGAGGAAGATCGAGGAGGATTGACGAGTGCTGCTTCGATCGCGAGAGCCGCGCGTTCAAAATTCAAAAAAAGAAAAAAAATTTCCTTTCGCGCTAGGATAATTCTAGGATAATTATTATACTAACATAAGCTAATCCAGAAATCCATAAAATTCAGAATCACATCGATAAAGCCTCCGAGATTAAGAATCAACGGGAGATAGAGATAGTTAATTTTGCCAGATTGTTCCAGCGCTTGATTCAGAGAAATGTCTAGGAACGTTCGTTTCCACATTGGTGAGCGCGTGGAATGCATTTGTACAAGAGATTAATTAAGAAAATTTCCGATAATATTATTTCATTTAAATGCGCTGATACATATCATTTGAATTGAATCGACGTCGTCCTGTTGGATAGTTCTCCTCCCGCCCTCCCTCCTCCACCCGGCCCCGCCGTTCTCCCGCCCACGTACACATTTACAAAAAATTCCAACGAATAATGTGCACAATTGTATGCAGACACATCCTCATTATCAAATCCTCGTAGGCTTATAAGCGAATGTTACTTAAATTTTATTTTTACGTACGAGCGAATAAACATATTCATGTGCAATATGCAAGCATATTTGCCTCATTAAATGCGAAATAATTTCATAAACATTAATTAGTAAGCGAATATCATTGGCTCTTGCGATAATATCTCAAAGCATTATTTCATGATGGAATTACAGCGTCGATTCAATGTCGAGTGCTTACTAAAGCTCGATCGACAGGACGTTTAAGAAAATTTGGAAATGTAAATGTTTCATTTGACAATGACTCGTGCATTTGCTATACTTACGAAAGACAAATGGAATTCCTCCCCTAATTGCTTTCTTTCCATCGAAAATCGCCTGCTTGCTGTAAAACAAAAACAAAACAAATCAAAACCAAAAAAAAAAAACACGATGAAAAAAAAGAACGTGCTTATTAATTATGTAAATTCGCTTGCTACTTATTTTGCAAACATTCCACTCGCGTGCCTTCCGTTATTGACGAAAATTTGGAAAATTGGAAAATTCTCAAATTGTTCAAACATCATTATTACACGATGATTTTCTCTTAATGTTAAATAATAAAATAGTTATTTAATAAGCTGTAGTTACAGCCGATCAATAAGATTGTCAACATAAATTAAAATAATTGTCAGTAATTAGCTTTCAAGTTTGAGTTTGAAAGTATGATTTCACAAATCTTATCATTCGCCGTTTCAATACTTAAACGTAATATTTTATTCATTCGCTTTAGTTATTCCTACATTATAACTTTAATATTCAGGTTGTTCGCTAATTCTGTACAATGTGTGTTGCAACCTGTTCCTAACGTCAATTTATCAATGACGATCACTTTGATCGGGAAATACATCTCGAACGTCGTTTAGTTTATCAATTTTTAATTATACGTTTATTGTTATTTATCATTTTAAATCAAGTTCTTTTTGCATATTCTAACTGAAAGTTTAGAGCAAACTTTTAATCCAGCATAGTTGGCACTTAGTTGCCAGTAACTTGGCCGTCCGGTTTCCCGACACTAAAGCTTCATGTATTATTCTATGCATGTGTGTATGTATGCATGCATGCCCCGTATGTACGTATATATGCACGTATGTATGCACGTATGTATGTATTATTACTTAATAATATGACTCAGTATACATTGGTCGATGATTAAAAAAATTTTTCATTTAGATGGTTAAACTATTTTCTCAATTACGCCTTAATAAACAAACTCGTAATAATCATAAGAATCTCGAAGTATTATCATGAATAATCGAAAACAAAAGAATAATTGAATGTTTTTTTGTTTTTGTTTTTTTTTTGTTTTTTATTAAATTTAGATATCGTTTGACAAAGTGGCAACTAAATAAATATCAACTCAGATGGCCATTATTCCTTAATAATTTTCAGGAACATTAGTGTTAGATGACGTTTACTACATTTGCAACTATTATACACGAAACCATTCTTTTAATTGTGGAAAAATAAAACTCATGACTTTATGACATTATTACCAGTATTACAGAGTTTTAACAAAAATAGCCAAGGGCATTAAAAGACATAAAAGAAAATAAATGCCAGTGAAGTGTTTGGAAGAGTGGGAAAAAAAAGTTGGCACTCGCATGAGTTATCCGATGGAAGTTTCTTATAAATAGAAAATGTAAATGTAGATGGATAAAATGATATTTTAATAAATAAATGAAAAATGTCACTCATTTTATTCTCGATTATTTTTTTTTTTTTTTGTTTTTTTTTGTTTTGTTTTTTTTTTTTGGTTTTTTTTGTTTTGTTTTTTTTTGTAACAATCTTTGTATGTTTTAAAGATTTCAATCAAATCAACATTCCTACAATATGGGAAAGACGATAAAAAATTATTTGCAAGATTGTAAATCGATACGATAATGTCTTGTATTAAAGATATAGGGTATGTAAAACCATATATACAGTACAGTATTTTCATTGGCTATGTGGCACGTGCATGCGTGTACGTACGTGTAGACACGCGCGCGCGCGCGCAAATGTATGTATAAATTGAACGGGAGCCGGTACCTGTAATTTTTTCTTTCTAAGCTTACGTAGTGGAAAATACCACAGCGATTAGTAATTCATCAAAATTTCATGATAATTAATAACGCGGCATAGTCATATTTATTAATATATTCCACAATATCGATACTCATTACGCAGCTGGGAATCTCGATCTCAAGATTTTATAAGAATAAATGGGTCATTTTATAAAATATACGACCGTCGGGAGTACGTGAGTTGATTCCGCAAGAAACGGATTTATTTTGGCGCAGGTTCTTTCAATGGTGGTGGTGGTGGTGGTGATGGTGGTGATGGTGGTGATGGT